AAGATCATGTAGGTAGGTAAAGATATTCAATACAATACTCTCTAAACCTCTTCAGATCTTCTACCACTCATATTTATAACCCCATGGTCGAAAATAGCCGTTACTAGCCGTTGGGGGTCATTAAATGCTCTGCAGGACGCAAACCTCGAGCTGCAGAATTGTCAGGAGAGCCGACTTAACTTTCTAGGGCCGGCTATCCGGGTTTGCAGCACATTCTGTTTTTCTCGAGAGACGGCTGCAAAACTTTGAGCCGGCTTTGCAACTTTGACTTTAAATACATTAAATAATCTTCAAATGAGTCGACTGTTGTGCATTAAATGCACCCTCACAGCCGGCTGCAAAGCCAGAGCCGGCTTTGCATCTTTTCTCCGCGCGTGCCAATCAACGGTCTTCAAATTTTTGCCTATAGAGCCGGCTGCAGCTTCCAGAGCCGGCTCTCTGCACTTCCATTTCACCAGAGCCGGCTGCACTTTACCAGAGCTGGCTGCACTTTACCAGAGCCGGCTCTCTGCACATTGAATCCTTTTGGTCTATTTTTAGTGCCATCTAAGTTTACTTGCAATCTTTTAGCAACTTAACTACACACTTAAATAAACCAATTAGTCACTCAAATGTGTTTTGTAATCATCAAAATCATAGGTACAACAGATACACTAGCATTTTTTAGATGTACCAAAAGAAAGGATGAGTTGAACAAATCAACATTATACTAAAGTTAAAATAGCAGCACATAACATAAATCCAAAAAACATCAAAACCAACCTTACGATAGAAGCTGAGTAAGAAATCAATAAAATGCAATAATTGCATTAGATTAAGGGGAAATAAAGAGCAAAACTTAGCTGGATGAGATTGAACTCAATTTGGACCTAATCGACCTTGACAAAGTTGGTGTCTTAGGCCTTGAGCGTCCACGGAAGCAACACGATCGTCAGACTTGGGAGGCTAAACACTATAGTGGAAGGGATTAGGCGGCGATTTTGGAAGTCAGGTTGAGATTTGACAATCGAAGACAAAGACTAATGCCAGACTTTATAGATACTTAGGTTTAAGAGATGGATAAGATGATTTGGGTTTTGATTTGTTTCCTCATTTAGAGGCCATGGGACATTTTGAATAAATTGGAGAAGTAGGTGGCATGAAAACGTCCAACGGCAATGGGTTCCAGCATCGAAATGGTTCAACGACCATGGCTTCATTGAGAAGGAGGTCTGGCAGCGATGATGAAGAAATAGGATTTCAATTTCCTTTCACTAGAGAAGGAGGTAACAGAAAAACACCAGGTGACAGTGGGTTCTAAGAGTGCCATGTTAAATCTATCCAAATCCTTAACACCTAATCCCCTATCCTTTTTACTAGTGCATACTTTCTCCCAACTAACATGTCACACCCCAAAACCCGAATCCGAGGCGTGACAGACGCCGTGCACTCGTGAGACGGGTCCCACAAGTGCACAAGGCTCAAAACTTATCCAATTCACAATCTGACACCATCAAAATCTGAAGATAAAATCTTAAAAACTAACAATCCACTAAATGAATTTACAATCTCCAATTAAAATCT